TTCAAAAGGAGGTGACTACGGAGCTGGGTCCGGAGCAGCCTTCCCTGGGGAGAGTTTCCCGTCTGGGACCCAAACGCTCATACTCAAGGAACGTTCGGCGCCATGGCCACGCACGATGCTGCAGCCAGAGGGCGCCCTGTTCATCATTTAACTTGGACCTGTCATGAAATCTTGGTAGTGGAGTCGTCTTGTCTAGACTAGCTCCCTCACTGGACAGATGGGGTCGTGCAGTCTGGAGTCAGCACTGGAAACCTCGCTAAGTGGCTCCCTCTCACTGGGGGCGTTTGGTACCCTAGGCACCCTGCTGATTCACATAAGCTCTCTCACTTCACTGGACAGATGAGAAAAGATCCAGGGAGAATGTGAAATTTGCTGAGGATAGAGGTAGAGTCGGGATTCGAGTCCCGTCGTTCTGGCGCCAGAACCCGAGCCCTTGGTTGCTTCTCTAGCCCACTGGTCTGGCGGTCCCATCATGCTACACTGCCTCTTCGCTTCTGTGATGGCTCGTTCCATATGGCGACTGGGCTAGGCCAGTAGGGTAGTGGTCAAACATCATTCTAGATGCTGAAGGGGATTTTTGAAATGAGATTAACATTTAAATCAGTGGCCTCTGAGTCAAACAGGTAACCCCGCATAATGGGGATATAGGCCTCATCCAATCACTGAAGGCCTTAACATAACAAAGACCGACCCACCCGGAGGAAGAGGGAATTATGCCAACAGCCTTTCGACTCAAATTGCAACTCTTCCCTGGGTCTCCAGCCTGTTGGTCTATCCTGCAAATTTTGGATTTACTAATAATCTTCTACAACCATGTGAGTCAATTCTTTAAAATCAACCCCTCTCTCTCTCTCTCTCCATATATATCCCTAACACAATTCCCATCACCCCACAGGCTATGTGCTCACTTACAAGAGGAGGGGAGAGCCCTGCAGCTTCCTCTTCTCTCCAGGGAAGCCAATATGGTTTACAGAGAGCACCACCCGACCCAGGCTTGACCTCCTGGAGGAGGCACACTCAAGTGCTCTCTTGGACATCTTAAACCTTAAAGAAACTCTACTGGGCCCAACAGGTTTTCCTAAAATGGACCCAGATGTTTCTACATGTAGAATATATCAACTACATTCTTCTTAGGGAGAGTGGTATATGGAAGACACCAAGCGACTGAGGTTTCACGTACATTAATATGATTTGGGAAAATTAGCTCCAAAAGGGTAACAAAAAGGAACAGTTAATATAGCTGGTAGGCTCACCATGTTATGGCCAAAAGCGTGTGACTATGCTGGGCTCCACCTGCAGCCGTGGTCACCGTCACTACTGTCTCATCAATTCTCGGCTCAGTCTTCTGATCTCACCTCAATTCTACCTACTGTCCCGGTCCCAAGTGTCGTCATTCCTTACTAAGAGGGCTGTTTAAAAGCCATTCCAGGTTGAAATCTCTACTAGATCTTCACGTGCATTTTGGCCTAGAGTAAGCATTTAATAAATGGTTACTGACAAGGACTAAAACACACACATACACTCCTTGGCCACACTCACTGACTGTTTGTTTATTCAAGTATTTATTGTGCTTAGGAAGTCCCCAACCTCCCAGAACTCGCATCCCACTAAGGATTCAGGACAGTACACTATATGTCTGGTCGGAGTGGGATAAATGTTAATATTAACAGCATCAGCCAAGAATAAAGAGAACATAGGAACCCAGGGGGCGGAAAAGTATTTAAATTATCTGGAAGAGGAAGGGAGAGAATGGGAGAGTGGGAGCTGGACGTCGGGCCTTCCAGAAGACACAGTGCCAGGCCTGAAGGATGACAAAGACACCTGCATGGAGGTGAACACAAGGATCCTTAGCAGAGGGAACAGCATTGTCAGTGGCTGGAAGGTACATGTTACCATACACCCGGGGCAGGAAGGAGCTCAGGGTACAAGGGCTGAACGAAAAGGCTAGGAAGTGATCCCTGTGGAACCCCCACTTCCCCAGAGAGAATCCTCCACAGTGTCCCAACAAACCACATCAACCCGCCCCAGCCAGCAGACCACAGCAGGGGCTGGAGGTAGAAGAAGGGAGTCGCTTCCACTGCAAGTGGCAAATAAAATCTACCCCTAGGTGTCGTCTATATGAAACAGTATCCACGCAGAGTTGTTCTCTCTAAAAGCCCAAACCACGTAATTCTGGTCTCTCCGACCAGCAGCTGAGGTAGGTTCTGATTAAGCACTTGGAGATTAGATCAAGCTCCTAAGACAGGAGTCCTGGGATAATAACCGTGTTCAGGCACTCAAGCCCTGGCACCCTCCCCGTGCCCGGCCCCTTTCACTCCAAGAGTTAAGTGGCTTCACCTGAGACGATGCTCTTTCCTTTTTGGTTAGAATTTCTGTGTGTACATGGATACTGGCTGCCACTGCGACTGTGGGTTTCTATGGGGCCAGAAGGAATCACTTTGCTTTTCTCTGGGCTTACTCTCGTTCATTACATAGTGGGGCTCTGTTACTAATGCAAGCACCTCAGTGATCTTGACTGAAATAAAAATGATGTTATGTTTTTAAAATTTATGACTAATATATATCCAAAGTACAAAGGTTATAAAAGTATAGTGAAAAGGAAATCTTCCTGCACCCTGGCCACCCAGGGTCCTTTTCCCAGAATGAACCACAGTTACCAGTTTCCTGTGTACTATCCTGGAGATATTCTATGCATAACAAACATGGGGGAGAGTTGCATCCGCATGTACACATAAATACCTGCATATACACACACATTTATATCTGTATTTTTAATATAATTGATAGCACACCATATCTAGTTCTAAACCTTGATTTTTCAAAAAGTAAACAAAATATCTTAAAGATGGCTTTGTATCAGTTCAGGAACCTACTCATTCTTAATGGTTGTGCAGTATTCCATTATTTGTACTATAATTTATTTAAAAGTCCCCTCTGGCTGTTTCTAATCTTTTGGTTTTATAACAAATTCTTTGCTATATAACCTTATATATGCACCAGTTCACCCATGCATGGGCCCACCCTTAGGATAAATTCTTAGAAGGGAAATTTAGAGGAATTTGGGGATAAAAGACATGTGAATTTTCAAATTTAATAAGGATTTCCACTTTGTTTTCCACAGGGATTCTACCTCTAAGCCATACACTAAATTAGCACACACATCTGGGTCTATATCGGAGTTTCTATTCTGATTGATTCAGGCACTTATTCTAGCACCAATTTTACCTACTATAAGTACAATGTTACCTGTTATAGCTTTATCATGTTTTTATATACAGAAAGCCACTCTTCTGTTATCACTCATCTTTCCAAAATTTTTTGTATTCTTGCTTTAAAAAATTTTTTATATATTTACTTTAAAATTATAGCTAACATGTGTAGTGCTATGTGCGAAGTGCCAGACTCAGCATTTTTTTTTTTTTTTTTGAGACAGAGTCTCACTCTGTTGCCCAGGCTAGAGTGAGTGCCGTGGCATCAGCCTGGCTCACAGCAACCTCAAACTCCTGGGCTCAAGCAATCCTGCTGCCTCAGCCTCCTGAGTAGCTGGGACTACAGGCATGCGCCACCATGCCCGGCTAATTTTTTGTATATATATTTTTAGTTGGTCAATTAATTTCTTTCTATTTTTGGTAGAGACGGGGTCTCGCTCAGGCTGGTTTCGAACTCCTGACCTTGAGCAATCCGCCCGCCTCGGCCTCCCAGAGTGCTAGGATTACAGGCGTGAGCCACCGCGCCCGGCTTAGACTCAGCATTTTAAATGTATCAGCTCACCTAATTATGACAATAATTCTATAAATTAGACACTACCATTATGCTCATTTTTCAGAAGCAGAAACTAAGGCACAGAAAAGTTACAGAACTTGCTCAAGATCACACAGCCAGTGACTGGTACAGCAAAGATGCAAAGCAAGAGTCTGTTCTCCCATCCACTTTGCAAAACTCATTTGCAGAATGAGATTTATTTTGTTGTTTTGAGTTGGGTGCTTAATTCATTTGACTTTCATGATTTTGTCATCTATTAACACAAATAATTGAACCTTTGGATTTTCCTCTGAGCCCTGTTTTAGCTGTGTCCCGTAAGTTTTGAATACTTTAGCTCACCACAGTGCCTCCTTTGCTATTAGAAATCTGCATTGTCATGTTAAATTTATAGATTAACAAAGGAAAAATTAACATTTTTATGATGTTGAGGTTTCCCATCTAAAAACAGGGCATGCCTTTCCATTTAAGATTTTTTCATGTAAAACATATCCATTTTTATTGTGATTATTTGTAAGTATCTTTTCAAATTGTTATTTTAATGAATTTTTTTTTCTTCCACTATGACTTCTAAGCAGCTGTTGCTGGAGTATATGAAAACCACAGATACCTGTATGTGATATTAGGCCTTGCCTTTTTAGCTGAATTCTATTTCTAATAGTTCTCAGTTAATTTTCTTGAGCTTCACACATTAAAAATTAACATAACTATTAATTTTTACCTGTTCTTTTTCTTGCTCATACTTCTTTTGTATTTATTGTTAAATGAAAGAGATAAAAGACATCCTTGTCTCACTCCTGACTTTTAATGAGACTTGAAAATTGGGGACATTGAAATCCTGTTCACATTGAGGGCTTATAGAACTACTGAAGTTAGAAATTAAAAAAAACAAACAAACAAACTATTTTAGGTAACTGTAAATGTGTGTTCTTTCTAATGTGTTTTATGGTGGTGCTTTTTTTACTGAAATTTTCTTTAAAGTCAGATTGGGTAGCAGAGCAGCTCTACCTTCAGGAAGTGTTCTCTGATATCCAGCTTTTAAATGCTTCCTCACTTAATAATTTAAACATTTTTAATTTGTTATAAAAGTAACACATAGTTCTTAAAGAAAATTTGGAATCCAGAGAGAAACAGAAAAAAATGAAGTGTTTTGTAAGTGAAATCATGCTAGCCTGGGCTTGGGGGGGTGCACACTGCATGTATGTGCCCCTCCATCTGCATTGCAGCCACCCGGTACCTACCTGGGTCCCCTGAGCTGTCGCTGTTCCTCTCACTCTCCCCGTCTTCCTGGCCATCTGCGTTCTGCTGCGTGTGCTGCAGGCTCAGCTTGTGGCAGACTTCAAAGGCCTGCCCCACCGTCCGGACGATCCGCATAGCTTGGCTCTGGGAAAGAGAGAGGAGAAGAGTGAAGGACGTGGAGACTCTACCAGGACATAAGACGGGTAGGGATGGGTGAGGCTGAGCGAGGGGTATGGAGACAGAGACCCACAAAGCCAGCAAAGGAGAGAGGTGGAAAAACCTAAGGTTGTTCAGATATGTCAATACTGTACTCACAAACAAGAGTGTGAAGAGATTTTCCTCCCCTGAAATACTCCAGAAAATAGAATCTGTCACCACAGTTCTGAAATGGTCAGTCAACGGAAAGGACAGGTAGCAAATATACCAACTCTGGACTCAGCCCCAATTCCTCCTTCCCGAGTGTAACAGTCGTCAACATGCTTCAGAATCGTTTGCCAACCATCATCAAATGTTCAATGGGGTCCATCAAACCAAAAGGAACTCAGCCACCTTTTTTTTTCCATGTTTTGCTGCTACAAATGTTGGGTTTCCCTGGCGCTCCTGCAGACCCAGGGCTGTGGTGACATGGGGCTTGGAAGCCATGGCCTGAACAGCAAGACCAACTGGACCTCAGCACCCAAGTTCCCCCGGGACCCCACAGGCAGCCAACTAAACCTAAGAAGAGCTTTTCCAGGTCTAACTCCAAAGACGCCACTCCCTTGAGTCTGTTCTGTGCCCCCTTCCTTTCAGTTTGCTATTTAACGTCTTCCTTTAAGAGCCCAAGAGGAGAGCCCGAGCCCAGCTCCCAGAACTCCACCACCTAACGGGGAGAGGGGGAGGCCAAAGCAGCCTGTCCCTGGGCAGAGCCTTGAGCAACCCGAGCAGGATGGAGGAAGAATCCAATGCAGGCCTTTCAGGGCATCGCCTCAAAGGCAGATAACTGACGATAACCTGATGATCAGTCAGCTTTTGCTTTCTTTCAAGGATAAAAATGAGTGAAATGTGAAATAGCTTCAGAGCTCAGGCGCCTCAAGCACCTCTACCACCCCAGGCTGTAGTTTATATAATCTAATTGTGCCCGTCACCCTGTACTCAAGTCTAACATCAATCATGTTTTAGATGGTCTGGCTTCAGGTCGGCCGTGACCGCCTCGTGACACCACAGAAGTCCATCGATCACATTCAAAACCCCCAAAGTCACGTGAGCAGTCAGACAGAGCTTCGCATCTGCACGAGACAGCTGGTATCACGTCACCAAACTCACGCCCAGTGTTGTGGTAAGCTTAAAGGGCCTTGTTGAGGGACATAAAATGAGCCACATTTATGCTTTTTAAAATATTAAAATGAGTTCACATTTCTCCTTACTATCTTCGTGAACCCCTAGGAACCTCAGAACCCCACAGACAGCACTACTGCTCTGGTCCATTCTCTACTGGCTATAACTTCCTAAACTGCTATCCTTGCTAGCTCCTCAAGCCTGGTGTCATGTCTATGTTCCTTCCTTCTACTTCAGGCCACAGCATCTATGTTAATAAGGAAGAGGTATCTTGGCCAAATCCTCACCTACACGTGTACTTCAGATCTCAATATACTTGATCAACTCAAGCCACCTCCTAAAAGTAACTGTCCGATAGCTTAAACCACTCTTATCCCATTATAGAAACTCCAGAGATACTCCCCACTGGTCCCTCACCTGGAACATCCTGACATTTCTGGGTGATAAGAACCTTAAGTGAAGCAGGAGGAGACAGGTAACTTCCATGGGGTCCCCCATCACCCAGTGGTGGATCAGAACCTCTGTCCTCTATGTCTATCCTTAATTTCCTTCTGTGTCCGCGGGGTAGGCTCAGGTCTCTTCTTATACCACAGGCTTGTAGAGTCTAAGAGACAACTGTGCTATCTGCACAGGAAGCTGAGAAGCAGCAAGCATCAGTCCTAAGCACAAAGCACCTACCTTTTGTGTTCCCAAAACATACAAAATGGTGTGATTTGGAGGGCACATTCCCTAACAAACCTGGACCAAGGACACCCCAGCTTTTCATATCTCCTCTGGCGGTCACAGTGTGCTCTGGTTAGAAGACTGAGCCAGGGAGCTCAACTTTCAGGTAAAAAAAAAAGAAAAGGCTGCTCTACCCAAATGTGTTATTCCCATGGGCCTCTACAGATATTTTTATTCCTTATTCCCTTTATGAGAATAAGAGCAGACTACCTATGGTTAATCTCTTACAGGAAAACTCATCGCTAGCTTACCAAACCTGAGATATGGTTTCATTCTACCTGCCAGGAATACCCAGTGTCCATTACAGAGAACCTTTCCCCCTCCCTCCCCTCTTCTCTGACTCTTGGAATTTTGCTCTCCTAGGCATCTATATAGGAAGTGGAAAGTGATTTAGGTTCTAGAAATGAAACCTAAATGGTTTTAAGTCGAAATGATATATAGAGATTAGGTGTTTAATTCCATTACTTTCTTATCTTACATGAATTAATCCAGATATCACAAACTGAATAAATGTCTGCAAAGACTGAGTCAGTCTCCTGCAGTCTGCATCATTCTCAGAGCACAGACTCAGCTTCTCTTTTTTAAAATACACAGTTGTATAGAAAATTCCAAATTCACTATTGTGTTTGTTGCCATAAAATCTCAGGTTTTTCCTAAGGAGGAAATGGTACAAATTCCACCATCTCTGTAAATCACAGACACTTCCCTTAACTGGCTTTTAAGATGATTTTAAAAATTTAAAGATCTTCAAATATATGCCCCTGATCTATGGGTTAGACAGGGGTAGGGATTGAATTTCTAAACTTGCCTTTGGAAGGAAGTGATTAGATTTAAATAAGAAGATGGAGTTGGTGAGAAATGACTTCACAGAAGACCTGCACTTCTCATGCACCACGAGAGTACAAATGTACAATGGGAGGCACTCAGGGCTGAGCATTTTAAGAACCTAGATTCTGCCTCAAATCTAGATTGTGCTACCTTTATTAAGGACAAACATGTGGAACACACCCATAGGTTCAAACAACTATTTATAAGCCCAAAATGGTTGTTAGGAGGTAGGTTGGTTTTAAAGCTTAATATTTACGCTGTTTCATTTTTACACGTTAGTCCATTTACTAAGACCAGCAATCGACTCTGACCACTATCTGATTCCCCTGAGAAAACAGAAAATGCAGACTTCAGGTTTACTGGTCCTGCCTTGCCCATGTTGGAAAGGGCATTCCACTCCTCAGCCTCCCATTTCCTTGATGACAGATGTTCTCTATAATAATCCCGGAACTTCACTGAAAAAGTGAATCAGTGATGTCTCTCTCTATAGCATCTCCTTTGTCACACAGGGGAATAAACATATAGATAACATACATGATAACACCTCCCACAGTGCTCAGCATATAGTAAGTGCTCAAGAAATGTTTTATTCTGAATATGGAATTCGCTGCACCAAAAGGCAATTGAGGCAGAAAACAAAATGTAGTGCAGTAAAAGTGGGATTATTAACAATAGAAACACAAAGACACCAAAGGAAACACCTCATACATACGTATGCTGGCATCAAAAGGGCTATTCCATACCCTTCCTCCCCATGGCACCAAAGAGAAACTCCTGGGCCAAATGGATCTTTGGTCTGAGCTAGCATGATGGTTTCCATACATGAGGAAATTGTTGAGTAAGAGTTCTAGTTTTTTTTTTTTTTTTTAAATTACATTCAGTGCTAAATGGTTTCATTTTGATTTATGCTTCACTTTACTCCTCTTTAATGTGAAGGCTATATTTCCATTCATAGCAAAAGGACACAGTGGCACATTTTATGAAGAGCCCTCTGCACTTGAATACATAATCGAGTTACCCCGTCTGTTTTACAGAATGATGACATGCACATAAAAGAACTGCCCTTCCCATTTCCCACTCTAGGAGTCAGAAGGAGCTGGATGGCTCTACTCGTAAATGGCTATGTGAGTTCAGATGCCTCTTGACCCTTTAGGCTCTCCTTCCTTCACAGTGAAGCCTACCTTTAGAGGATTCTATGTAAGAGCCTTATTAGGGGGCCAATTACTGGAAGGTGGCCAGCAGGGGCAACCTGTGCCTGGCGGGGGCTGTCCCTCCCACCATCTGCTCTCTGCACAACCATGTTGGCTCCTGCCTGCTAGGCCTACCCTACTTGGTCATCCCACCCTCTGCCTGCCATCCCAGAATGCAAGCATCAAACGTGCTGGGACTTGATAATTAATAAGCCATGTCTGAACCCAAGGGAGAGAGCACTCTGGTAAAGAGAAGCTTCAAAAAGAACCCCTTCCAGAGATCTTTATGAATACTTGTCCTTGGGTCTCCTAAGTCACACTGAAGCAGTTGCTCACATCTCATGACCACAAATAGGTCTTTGGAAACCAAGGTGGATGTTTAAAGATTGAAAGCTGTGAGGTGCAAAGAAACAAACAAGTGGGACTTCGAGAAGATGGCCTTTTCTGAGTTCTAAAATCTGGCCATTCTCTGGAATTTACTAAAGCATCATTATATCACATTATTTCTGTACAAATGAAGTTTAGTTTTACATAAGCCCCTGAAAGTGCTTTGCCACACGGATCAAATCTTCCTGTCTAAAAGCCATTTTCTATTAGCAGCCTCAAAGCATGTGTGGCCTCTTGGTTGTCAGGATGAGGCTAGATGCGGTTGCTTTGATGTTTTCAAAGCTAGAAAGGGATATCTAACCTCAGAGTGGCTCTCAGCTGCAGATGGAGAGCACTGAAGCTCATGGGAGTGCCAATTATAGGCAATTTTGTGAAAACAGGGCTGGAAAGGAAGCTGTCTTAGAACTGTATGCCACTTACCTTTGCCACACACAGAATGATTCTTTATATCCCCTTCTTTTCATGTTGACATAGCTCCCTCTCCCCCACCCTCAGGACATCCCTCAACCTAGCACAAAAGTCAAGATGCAATGAACAGCTGTTCTCTTTAGCACACCTAATGTGGCTATCCACTATACACCTAGCAGGTGTCAATACTTAATGAATCATAGCAATGGCCATGAAATTAACACTGTATTCTCAGTGAGCGTGGGTTGTACACTCAAAGGCAGACAAAAGCCTGCAGTTGTAGCTTTAGGAAGG